TGCGCCTGCCACGATTTCGCACGCCCCCCGCCGCGCGCGCGACAACATCCTGTCCCTCTAGACAGCTGCCGAATGCGACCCCTGCCACACAAACACACACCCAGATGCACAGAATGCTGCGCCTGCCACGACTTCGGCAACGGCATCGCCAAAGTGCTGCGCCTGCCACGATTTCGCAACGGCATCGCCAAAGTGCTGCGCCTGCCACGATTTCGCACACCCCCCGCCGCGCGCGCGACAACATCCTGTCCCTCTAGACAGCTGCCGAATGCGACCCCTGCCACACAAACACACACCCAGATGCACAGAATGCTGCGCCTGCCACGACTTCGGCAACGGCATCGCCAAAGTGCTGCGCCTGCCACGATTTCGCAACGGCATCGCCAAAGTGCTGCGCCTGCCACGATTTCGCACGCCCCCCGCCGCGCGCGCGACAACATCCTGTCCCTCTAGTGAGTGTGAGTGAGTGAGTGTGAGTGAGTGAGTGAGTGAGCGAGTGAGTGAGTGAGTGAGTGAATGAGAGTGAGTGAATGAGAGTGAGTGTGAGTGAGTGAGTGTGAGTGAGCGTGAGTGAGTGAGTGAGTGAGTGAGTGAGTGTGAGTGAGTGAGTGTGAGTGAGTGTGAGTGAGTGAGTGTGAGTGAGTGTGAGTGAGTGAGTGTGAGTGAGTGAGTGAAGTGAGTGAGTGAGAGTGAGTGAGTGAGTGAGTGAGTGAGTGAGTGAGTGAGTGAGTGAGTGAGTGAGTGAGTGAGTGAGTGAGTGAGTGAGTGAGTGAGTGAGTGAGTGAGACGGAGACGAGCGGGAGGAGGAGGAGGAGGAGACGCGGCGCGCGGACGACGAGCGGAAAAAGTAAGAACCCCACACAAAGATGTGGGGAACAACAAAGAACAAATAGCAGATAAGAATAAGACATATAGAGAGAATAACAAAGACACTTTAAAAGAACAGAAAAAGAACTATCGTGAAAACCATAAAGACGAATGAAAACAAAAAGCAAAAGAATATAGAGAAAAGAACAAAGAAGACATAAATGAAAAACAGAAAGACTATAACCAATTGAAAGTAGAATGTCCTTTATGTAAATGTAAGGTAGGAAAATACAAAATGAAAAAAACACCAACAAACAAGTAAGCACCAACTAAGAGTGAAAGGTCAAGAAAACAATAACGATACTGTGAGAGAATATATGGAAACAACAAGTGACTTTGAACAAGAATAGGAATAAACAAATGAACCACCAACACCCCAGAACATAATAACTACTAAAAGGGCTAACTCTTTCAAATGAAAAAAATGTCGGCCCCCAGAAAATCCACCCCTAACACCCTACAACAAAATATAGGATGAAATCAAACAAGGATGTTAAAACGTTGGATAACAACATTTGACCCAATAACCCCAACACTCCTCCCTCTTCCCCCCAGGCCCCCTACTTTCTCCATTTTTTCCCCCCCCCCCTCCCTCCCCAAGATTTTCGGCAAAAAAAACACTTCCGAAAAACGGATTGTTTTGACAAAGAACCCGCGCGCGAAAAAACAAGGTTTTCGGTCCAAAAAAAGCACACACAAAAAAAGGCATAAAAAGCATGTCCTTAATGACCGGCCAGTAGTAGGCCAGCAGCGCGGCCGAGATGGCGCCGCTCGTGTCCGCGTCCTGCGCCGTGCCCGTTCGGTAGTCGACCAATAGCGCGTCCACTTGTGAGGAGGTGTAGTAGGCCAGCAGCGCAGCCGCGAGGGCCGCGTCCGCCGCTGCGACGGAGTAGCAGTCGGCCGTGATGCTCAGCGTGTTGTCGCCGTTGGCCAGCGCAGCAGAGGCTTCCGCAAACAAGCTCCCAAGTCGTGAAGCCCGCCCAGGCCGGCGCGTTAGCAATTCCGCTGCCGGAAAGCTGCAGGGCGGCGAGCTCCGCGAGGAGCGTGGTCTCGCTGGCGGAGCGTACGAGGCCAGCAGCGTCGCGTCGGCCTTGGCCCCCTGAGCGCCGAGATGCTGGCGTCCCGGCTAGCAAGCTGCGCTGCGACGAAGGCCTCGGTGGCGAGACCCAGCAGGGCATTTGCTATCTTGGTGTCCACCTCCAGTGGCGTGTCCAACCCGTCCACCGTGGAGAGCAGGGCGGCCAGCGCGCTGGCGTCCGCCTTGCCGACGAGGGCGGCGTCAGTCCACCTCCGAGGAAGTGTCGACGGCCAACTGCAGGGCGTACGCGGTCAGCGCGCTGGCGTCCGCCTTGGAGGCCTGCAGGCCCAAGCGTCTCGACTCGCGAGCTCGGAGGCCAGCGCTGCGGCGGACACGACGCCCAGGGGAGCGTCGAGGGAGTGCTGGTCCACCACCGTCTTGAGGCCGTAGTTGGCCGCCGCCGTGGCCAGCGTGGCGTTGTTGGCCGAGGCGATGGAGCCGTTCATGGCTGCCGTGGTGCTGTAGTTCGACAGCTTCAGGACCACGCTGTCGGGGGTGCTCTTCGTGGCCACCACGCCCTCCAGCACGTCGAAGGCCGCTTGTTCGAGAGACCCGTGGTCAGCGAGCTCTGCAGCGCTGCGATGCTGCTTCCGTGCGCGGCCGCCTGCCCGTCCGTGGTGGCCAGGGCTGCTGCCGTGGCCAGAGGAGCGATTGCCGGCGCCAGCGCGCTGCTGTCCAGCTTCGAGGCCAGCTCTGCGGTGACCCCTTCTTCCAGGGACTGGATGGCGGCTGCGTTGTTTCCGGACGCTGCCGTGTGGCAGGTTGCCGCGTCACGAGCGCGTCGCGCTTGGGCGAAAAACGGAAAATCCTGTGAAGAACGAAGTCTTCGGGAAGTGGGGAAATTGGCCGGTTTTGCGCACTTTTTCGACCCAAAAGAGAGCGGTGACGAAGCGGTGACAAGTGGTGACAAGCTCAGCGGGATGGAACTTGCCAGCGTTTCCGGGCAGAAAACGGAAATCGAGAGCTGCGTGAGCTTCTGGAGCCTGTTTTCGGTCGAAACCGAGCAAATCTGCAGGCTCAGGCGCCTCGCTTGCCGTCTGACAGGAAAAAACGAACTTTTCGGGAATTTGGGAAGTTGGCCGTTTTGAGCACTTTTTCGACCAAAAACGGAGCGGTGACAAAACCGGTGACATCGGAAAAACGTTCAGCAGGATGGAGAATTTGGCTGTTTTGCAGGGGTTTTCGGAAAATTAATTGGTCCCTATGTTCCTTTTTACCGTATTTGCGTCCCGCGCTTCATGACGTCCTGCCAGATGCTCAAGAGCCACATCGCCAGCGCGAAGTTTTGCGGCATTTGACGAGAGGCGCCAGCCAAGAAACATACCAGTGACAGTGAATCACTAGCAAACAATCTGAAGGGAGCAGCAATAGGTCACGAAGCGTCGCAGGAGCAGATCAGGGTCCCGGTTCCCAGATATTATGTGTGTATGTCAGTCATGTGATGTAGTGCAATTCAATGTAATGTATGTAATGTAATGCAGTGCAACGTAATGTAATGTAATGTAATGCAATGTAATGTAATGTATGTAGTGTAGTGTAGTGTAGTGTATTGTCATGCGTTGCGTTGTAACGTAATGTAATGCAATGTAATGTAATGTAATGTATGTAATGTAGTGTAGTGTATTGTAACGTGTTGCAATGCAATGCAATGCAATGTAATGTATGTAATGTGACGTAATGTAATGTAACGCAATGTAACGCAATGTATGCAATGTATGTAGTGTAGTGTAGTGTAATGTAATGTAATGCAATATAATGTAATGCAACACAATGCGAGGTAATGTATGTACGTATGTAATGTAATTTAACGCAACACAATGCAAGGTAATGTATGTAATGTAATGTAATGTAATGTAATGTAATGTAATGTAATGTAATGTATGCATCTATGTATGTGTGGAGTGTAATGTATTGTAAAGTAATGTAATGTATGTGTGTGTAATGCAATGTATGTATGTATGTGTGCATGCATGCGTGTATGGATGTATGTATGTATGTATGTATGTATGTATGTATGTATGTATGTATGACAATTTGTGTATGTATGTATGTATGTATGTATGTATGTGTGTGTGTTCACGCGTGTATGTGTGTGTGTGTTCATGTATGTATGTATGTATGTATGCACGTACGTATGCGTGCATGTAATGTATGTAATGTAATGCAATGTAACGTAATGTATTGTATTGTAATGTAATGTAATGTAATGTAATGTTTATGTATGGTAATGTGTGTGTAGGTATGTAATGTCTGTATGTATGTATGTATGTAAGTAAGTAAGTAATGTATGTTTGTGTGTATGTATGTATGTATGTATGTATGTATGTATGTATGCACGTATGCAAAGGAATGTAACATAATGTAATGCAATGTACTTTTTGCTGACAATATTATCCCAAAACGTACATGTTGCACGCTCACTGCTCTGTCGTCATATCCTTGCCTGACCCCCACGTGCCGACCTCTTCCCTCGAAAGAATCTTGGAGTGACACTTGAAGAGTTTATTGCTAGTGGCTGGTGAACTGCAAGTGCAGCGCAGGAAAGGAAACGGGTCCCAGGTTGTCACTGATTGCGCATTGCTGCTGCGGTGCAGGCGTGGTCTCCTAGCCGACGCCTCGAGGCATCCACAGGCTGACGCCTCGGGCGCAGCGCGGGGATGCAAAGCCAAGCAGAAGTGGGCAAGTAAGAGCTGGACGGGAGCCCCCGTGTTGCTGCCATTCGAAAGCTTGAGTGAACTGCAATTAGCCTTGTTGCATGGACGGCGTGTTCCTTTTGCAGGGCTCAGCTCCGCAGCTGTCAACAGAAAGCGTCTTTCATGCGCCCAAGCACTTCGGTAGGTTTTGTGGACGTTGGGGCAGAAGCTGCAGAACGAGACTGCGTCGGCGCATTTTGACACTAAACAGGATAGGTAGGGAGCATCCCGCCATGGCCCTCGCTGCTTTTAGAGAGAAGCTGAAAGAGTGCAAGCTGAAGCAAACTCTGCATGAAACGTTCAAGCAGAAACTGAAAGGAACTGTGCGCAGTTTGCAGACATCCGCTGATCAGTTGAGCCAGGTCGGCGACAACCGGGACAAGCTTACCACACAGTTTCAACGCAGTTGGCAGCAGCAGGAGGCCCAGCTGGCAACGCTGGACGCGGAGTTTATCGCAGCCGTGATCGAGCAGGAAGATTTCAACGCTATGTACTACGACCCGCTGACGCTGCTCCCAAGGAAGGCCTTCTATGGCAAGCTGCTGAAGATGCTGGAAGGGAAGCCGCTGGCCCTCGTGTTGACCTCCGCGGACTTGGACAACTTCAAGTTGCTGAACGACTGCTGGTCCCATGCGCACGGCGACTCCGCCATCATGCAGGCGGCGGACTGCATCTACGAGCACTGTGAGGCCTTCAACGCAGGGCAGTCGGACGTTGTGTGCGTGCCCTTCCGCTTTGGCGGCGACGAGTTCGTGATGGCCTTCATCTCGCACGAGGGTGCGGACTTCAAGCAGATCAAGGACCTCTCGGTTAATCCTCTCCAATCCCAAGCCTTCCTCTTAAGACCCTGCGTATAACACACGGTTGCAAGCCAAACCACTTAGCGCTTCTTTGCCACTGTTCGGCGCACTGTTCCGCGTTGGTTTCGAGAGTTTGTCTTGTTGGGGGCATGGCAGGACTGCTTGGAGGAACTGCGCAAGACCGTCGTTGAAAGCCTGCGGAAGGTCTTCGACTTCAGTCGCCTGAAGCTGAAAGAAAAGCTCGTCGACCGCGAGGGCAATGCGATCACGGCCTCAGGCCCGGCCATCAGCATCGCAGCGTCGGACCCAGGGAGTTGCAGCAAATCGCTTTGGGAGCTCCACCGCCTCTACGTGAAAGCAGACGAGCATCTGAACAAAGCAAAGCCAACATTCAAGCAGGGAGAAGACCCGCAGGGTGGCGTGCAGGTGCAGGCAGATCGCATCGCAGGACTCTCCTTGGATTCGTTTCTCAAGGATCTACGAAACTTTGCAGCTGGCGAGGCCCGTGAAAAGGCCGCGGAAGCGCTCCGGAACCTGGCGACCAACGCCGACAACGAGATTGCCATCGCCCAGGCCGGGGCCATCTTTTCGCTGGTGGAGCTCCTGAGCCGCGGCACGCCCGTGGGTCAGGAAAACGCCGCGGCAGCACTGGGAAACCAACGACGACAACCAGATTGCCATCGCCAAGGCCGGTGCCATCCCTCCGCTGGTGGAGCTCCTGAGCCGCGGCACGCCTGTGGGTCAGGAAAACGCCGCGGCCTGACGAGCAACTCCGACAACAAGATTGCCATCGCGAAGGCCGGCGCCATCCCTCCGCTGGTGGAGCTCCTGAGCCGCGGCACGCCTGTGGGTCAGGAAAACGCCGCGTCAGCACTCTGGGCCTGACGAGCAACTCCAACAACGACTATGCCATCCCCAAGGCCGGCGCCATCCCGCCGCTGGTGGAGCTCCTGAGCCGCGGCACGCCTGTGGGTCAGGAAAACGCCGCAGCAACGCTTAGCAACCTGGCGAACAACGACGACAACCAGATTGCCATCGCCAAGGCCGGCGCCATCCCTCCGCTGGTGGAGCTGCTGAGCCGCGGCGCGCCCAGGAATCAGGGATGGGCCGCGGCAGCACTCCAGCACCTGGCGGCCAACTACTCCGACAACAAGATTGCCATCGCCAAGGCCGGCGGTGGAGCTCCTGAGCCGCGGCGTGCCCTGGGGTCAGGAACGGGCCGCGGCAGCACTCCAGAACCTGGAGGCCAAGTACTCCGACAACAAGATTGCCATCGCGAAGGCCGGCGCCATCCCGCCGCTGGTGGAGCTCCTGAGCCGCGGCACGCCCGTGGGTCAGGAAAACGCCGCAGCAGCACTGGGAAGCCTGACCAACGACGACAACCAGATTGCCATCGCGAAGGCCGGCGCCATCCCTCCGCTTGTGGAGCTCCTGAGCCGCGGCACGCCTGTGGGTCAGGAAAACGCCGCAGCAACGCTTAGCAACCTGGCGGCCAACTCCGACAACCAGATTGCCGTCGCCAAGGCCGGCACCATCCCGCCGCTGGTGGAGCTCCTGAGCCGCGGCACGCCCGTGGGTCAGGAAAACGCCGCAGCAGCACTGGGAAACCTGACCAACGACGACAACCAGATTGCCATCGCAAAGGCCGGCGCCATCCCGCCGCTGGTGGAGCTCCTGAGCCGCGGCACGCCCGTGGGTCAAGAACGGGCCACGAAAGCGCTTTGGATTTTGACCTTTTACCCCGAGGGTTTGGCAGCTGCGAAGGCTGCGGGCGCCTTGGGTCCGGCTGCCGAGCTGAGCGTGCACGGGACCGCAGAGGCCCAGGCGAGCGCCAAGAAGTTGGCTTCGCGGCTGCAGCCCGGACGGTGACGGCTCATGCCAAGTTTTTTCACTTAGAAATTTGCAGAGGCACCTCAAAACTGAGGGGCGCATCTCGGTGCTGAGGCGGAGGAGGGACAAGAACCTGACAAGGAACAAAAGACATTTTGGCTTGATGGGGTTGGAGATTTGAGCTTTGGGGGAGTTGTGGGGCTCAAGCTTGGAGGAACCCCTGAAAGAAAGACCTTCAACCCTCAACAGTCTCCCGGGCCTAGGAAAATTGCGTGAGGGTAGGAGGTGTGTCCACCCTGCTGTGCCTTTGCTGGGGATTCTGAGCCAAGTCGTGGCACGGGTTAGGCCAGTGCCTTGTCTTCTTCGCTGGGACTGCAAGTTGCCACCTGTTGCCACCTCAGCTTTCAGCATGAACGTGATGCAGCCTTTAAGATCCTGCAAGCTTTTGTGTGTTTAAAATGGGCCTTAGCTTCGTATCAGCCATTCGGCGCGCAGCTGTGGGTATGGGGAAACCATGTCCCAGGATGACAGAGCGCTTGAGGAATTCAAGCTTGGTTTGGAGAGCCATCTGCGTGATTGAGAGCTTGATTGCCGGCAGCAACGCTCGAGATTTACATCGTTCTTTGTCTTGAGGAGTATCTCGCGGTGGAGGAAATCAGTCGCCGAGTTCAGAGCTGCAGTAGGCCTGCTTTGGTACAGGACTTGGCTCAGCGGTGTTTGACTCTCTGCTTGCAGAATGCAAGGTCGCCCCTTAAATTTTCGCAGTGCTTGAGCTAGCCTGAAAGTGCCCCCCATGTCTGTGATGATCCAAACCTTTGTCTCATTTGCAGCAAAGAGGAATCGATCGCAGCTTTTGGAGTGATCAATGCAAGCTGTGAACAGGATGGGTTTGCTGCGATGGCCACCTCTTCCGCGCGCTCGTCTCTGTAGGCCAGGTCAGGTTGACCGTGCGAGATGGGGGGCGCTTAGCTCAGGGAGCGCGTCTGCCGCACGGAGGGTCTTCGTCGTTTTTTGTCATGTGCCAATGCTTTCTTAATGCACGAGCGTGACATAAGATGCAGCCTTTTCCCCTGACAAAGTGTTTTTTCGGCGCGCTTCATGTGACTCGTTTGACACTGTCGGTCTTGGTTCGCGCTGGTCTTTTTCAGGTTGAAGCTTTTGCCCAATGCCACCAGCCGAGGCAGCACGGATGAGGTCTCTTCAGAAGTTTGCGACGCATGACAGCCCAACGGGCGGAGGCCGCCAGTCCTTTTTCTCTGTTTGTTTGGGCCCTTGCTGCGGTCCTCTGCCTGCCACCCAGCGATGGAGGTTCACTTTCTCTCAGGCTTTGCTGCCTGCGTGTTACAGGCCTACAGGCCTGTGAAAACTGGTGTGACTGGTCCAGCGTTGTCCGCTGCTACCTAAAGCTAAGCTGCTCTTATCCGCAGGCTCCTGGAAACAGCGGCGGGCTACTCCGCAAACACGCGGGCCTCGTGTCACATCCAGGGCAGAAGTGGCCATAGTGACCGAAAAAGACTCAATCGCAAGTTTTATGGAGAGAACGTCAGGGCCTTGCAGACAGAGGCAACTTCGGCTGCGCCCACTCTCGAGCTCTCAGACACAGCCCTGCAGCGCTTTCCTTTCTTCCTTTCCTCCTTCCTTTCCTCTCCGACCTCCCCTTTTTCTTTCCATCCTATCATCCTGTCAATCCACTTCCATCCTTTCAATCGAACCCTAGGCCAGCTTTTCCCACCCACGCATCCTGTCAGTGTTTTGTCTGCGCGGTTGTCTTGCCATCCGTTGGTCCTTCCAATTTGCCAGTTGCAAACAAACGCGCGCCAGTCAAAATGGCAAGCAAATCAAAGTTGTGGATGAAGCAGTATTAGTCTGTGGCTGGTTGGCCACTTGATCGGCAAACTGGCCATTGCACGCAAGCTTCAGCTTGGTGACTGGATGTGCCTCATCGCTCTAGAGACGGTGGCATCCATGATGTGTTGCCAGGTGAACTCCGCCCAGAAAGACTTGAAGCTGCAGCCGGCGCCTTGACATTGCTTGTGTATGCGTGGAACGACTGGCATTCTCAGGTTGGCATCATCGATCGCCTCGTTGCCACAGTCCAGTGTTCCCTCCAGATTGAACCACGTGTTGCAAACGTGCTGCAAGAGGCTCAGTTGAGGGGCAAACAAGCGCCGCAACTCATGGCCAAACCACGCGTATGGCGGAGGACCTATTTACCAAATTCAAAGCAACGCACCCAGAGATCTAATTTGCCAGATGCGTGTTTAAATGATTATGGTGCCCAGGTCCAAATCGATGTAAGAAAAGGAGGAGGCCTCTTTGTTTGCCCAGATCAGGGCTTGGCATCAGACCAGTTGATGGATCTTTCCGAGGCAGGCCTGGTGTGAGAGGGTCATCGAGGCAGTGAAGCTGTTTGGAGTCGTTTGGATCAGCAGGCTTGCCGTCTGAAGCCCGTGTGCTGCGCAGCCTCCCCGACATGTTGGCTTCGAAGCGGTTCTATTGGCATTCGGCGACCGAAGGCCGCCTGCGCAGCAGCTGCTGCAGGACTTTGGCAGCTTTCAAGCGGTTCAAGAGCCGATCGCGGAGGAAGACGCAGATCTGCAGTAGGAACGAACCATTTCACAAAAATCTTCAAGAGTCGTTCGTCACAATTCTGTCAGCAAAGGTATGCAGAGGTCATGTTTGTGTTGTAGTGAGATTTAGTGAGATGTCGGTTTGGAGATGCCCACTGCATCAAAGCCAAACAGTGAATGGAATCTATTGCTTGGATATGTTTAATAGATGAACGCGCGCCAGGTTCAGGGTTCGCGTGACGAAATAGCAGCGGTTTGACTTCACATCGGCAGAGTTCTGAACATTCGACAACGGCCTGTTTACGGAGGTTTTGAGGTGGGATGGGGTGTAACACGGGTATGACAATTGTAGACCATCCCCAGGTTCATGGGTGGTATAAACCATCCCGAAATTGGTTGCTTATTATCATACCCACAGTAGGAAGGGAGCCCCCACCATGCCCTGCTGTTAAGTTATTTGTCCTTTCCGACAGCGTCGACAGGTGACCTGCGCTTTGGGCAAAACAGTTCAGATATGCGCAGTAGTGACGTTACGTTAATGCTCCACTAGGCACTGTCAGCGTTTGTCGATGACCTCAGTCGGCGCCAAGGCCTAGAACCGTGTCCAACATCGAGCATCTCAAGGCCAGACATGCCGATCGCCAAAGCTTCCCCAAACGCAGCAACACAGCGGCCATCCAGCACGATTTTCCCGTTGAGTTGAATTTGTTTCTTTCATGTCCATAATTTCGACTTGAGATGTCCAAGAGAGCTGCCTGGCAACCAGTGCAAATTGAACACCCAACGCCATGGCAAGCGTGACAATATTCAAGTACAGTTCTTTGTCACAAGATGAGTCGGGATCTTCTGACGCAGAGTCATGCAGATTTGATTCTGGACATTTTGACGGGGTTAAGTTTTGTGTCGCAAGGATTATTTGCACTCGGTACCTTCGCATTGATGATCCCAAGCCTGGCTGGTCTGGCCTGCTTCACTGTGAACTTTTTCGCCTGGAGCAGGGCCACTTTTAAGGATAATCGCCATTACGCGAACCGGGACCGATATGGGAACTCTCGCCCTGGAATGTTGGACATGATGCTTTCCGTTTTGCACATCCATGAATTTTCCGTGGCGTGGAAGTCGATGCAAAGAAGATCCATCAATCAATCCGGGACTACAAATTGGCGATTGGGCGAGCGTGCAGGGGTCAGTTTTTGCCACACAGCTGCACTCGAGCTATGTCTTCAGCTTGAATTACAAGCCATTCGGAACAGGCGGGTTCTTCCAGCACAAGCAGAGCATGTTGGAGTCATTTCTGGCGAGCTCAACAAACTCTGAAATTTGGATCCGCTGTCGTGAGCTGATTGCTTTGGATATGGGACTTTCATCCCTCAACGTCCCTGACAACGAACTATGGGATCAAATGCTGCAACTTCCATCCTTTTCAAAAAAGGGTGCTTTGGTCAAGCTTGCCCGGTGGTTCAGCTGGAACGAGGTGTGCAATGAAATTCTGGCTGAGTATCATGCGTTCAAGATGGTTTTGGAGGACTCGCTTGAGCTGGACGATGAGAGCAATCCAAGCAGTGTGTTGCCAACTGGACAGGGCCCTTCAATGAATGACCCAACATCAGCTGACCAAGGCCTCCTCAATGTTGCAGCAAAACGAAAGGAAATCAGCCCCAGAGAGGATTCAAGCTTGCGTTGAAGCTGATGACGGAGGACTTGTACTATCATTCCCACATTTTGCTTGAAGTCGCTCGTCCACTGTGGTCATGGTATGCGGCTGAAATTCAATCAGTGAAAACCCCGCAAGACTCTGTCAAAAGGTCCGCGCAGCTGGCGCTGGGTGGCTGGAAGAAGTCCGAGCAGCTGCGGCATGGTCTTGGCTTCAGCGTTGGAAGGGCAATGACAGATCTTCGGCAGGCATCAAAATCTGGCAAGGGGTGTTCAACAAACTGGCGCCACGGCAGGAGGTCATGAAGAATTTGTCAGATGAGTCATTCTGCTTTTGCTTGAGCTCTGCCGCATGGGTTTGTATAGGGTGGCCCGTGATTGTGGTGCACTCCTGAAGCGAACCACTGTGGTGCCCTTGGAGATGCGTGCTTTGTGCTGGATGCTGAAGGGCAGGCAGACTTCATGTTCATCGAGCAGCCAGAGATGTGGATGGTGGTGGAGACGCAGCCTGTTTGCATTGAGTGGCAAGGTGGTCTCCGATTGGCCAGGCAATCGTCCGGCGTGGAGCGCAGCTTGCTGAGAACTTTTCTTACAGAGCCAACGCTGCTTGGATCTGAATGAAGGCTGTGACACTCATGTCAGGCAGCATGCTTGATGTTGTCTTGTTGTCAGTTGTGTTGTCACCTGCTCAGGCTGACAAAGAAGATGCTGAACAAAGAGCTGGCGGCCCTGGTGTGCTACTTGAAGGGCATCGACCTGCGTGCTTGCAGCAAGACCGCTGTGCCAGTTTTTCAAGCGATGAGCAGACCTGAGCTT